CAAAAGCAATTATTCCTAAGAGGGTTTGAAATGCTGAATTTACTAAAAAATTAAGCTAAAAAATAGCTACCAAGTTGAAAAACAGAGACACCCCTCACATGCTAGATCTAATTAATCTGAAACCAGTTTCCCTGAAACTTTCCTTTGTACCTTGGCCAGCTGAAGTAATGTGCAGAAGGTCTCTTAGTGTTTCTTTCACATGTGCCCTCTCTTCACAGATCATGGCAGGAGGAGAAAAGAAGGTAGGAAACTCTGAAGGAGTCAAGGGTGGGAGAAGTCTTGTGCTTTAAGGAATGAAAAAGCCCATGAGACTGGAGATACTGAGACTGGAGGAACCTGGAGACCTCCTTCACTTTGCCCTTAGTTACACAAGCAGGCAGAAATGTTTAAAAACCAGCAAAGGAAAATGCTTTGAGTAATTGCTGCGAAAACAAAGTGAAGTTTCTCTTTGGCCCTTCTGATTTTGGTCATTTGAAGAGAACAAGAGCTCTCCAAAGGTCTGTTGCCCTAGGGAGCAGGGACATTATCTCAGTGAAATATTTTGTTTGCAGGGTTTCCCAGCATAGCAGCTATTTGAATGAAATTTAGTGGGGAGGAAGAAGAGAGGGAGGGAAGAGTATGTGTGGTCCTTGTATTTTGTCTTCTATTAGAAGTGCTTGAAGAAGATATAAATTAATTGTGTAGTCTGGATATTTATTTTTTCATTTCTCTCTCACTGCTTCTCATTGCAGAGGATTTATATATTCACAGGCAGCAGCTGCTCAGTGCTGCAGTGCCACAGGCACAGCAGAAAGAATAAATGCTTTTGGTCTCACTGTAGCAATTTAGGTTCACCTGGGTTTGCTCTGATGTAAAAGCAAATCCCCTCTGCTCTCAGGGGCCCCTGTAGCAACAGGAATTGAATGTGCCAGGGTGCAAGGCTTCCAAGGCTTATCATACTTTAACTCTTAAGAGCACCTCCTTGTTCTGCATGCCCAGCAAAAACATGTCATGTGGGTAACATCACTGCTTGGTATGTTGTTAAAAACAGGTTTGCTATTTCTGCAGAACTTGAAAAGGCTTAAAGGGTGGCTTGGACTAACTCAAAATTAAGGTCAACAGCATTTCAACTCCTGCTTGTAGATGAGGTACTACAAAATCATGCTAATAATCTAGTGGTTCAAAGGGGTAATTTAACTGCCTAGTGAAAGCAACACGTTTCATTAACAACAGTCTGTTGTTAAATGAGATTATGAGCATTACCATGACAGCAGACCTGTCATGTGCACTCTTCCAGTACATTTTCCATACTAACATGATTTCACATCAACACTGGCGAATCTCTATTTCCAGTATCACTAATGCAATTCACACAGCTCTTGCCAAAATGTACTAAAGACTCAGTCATAACTGTTGATGCTAAGCCACAATTCTCACTTTCCCTATCACACATCAGTCAGTAAATTACACTTTGAAGCCTTATGAATATTTCTGCTCCCCACCCCCAAGCTGTCTGAAAGGAAAAGAGATAAAGGGTTTTGTTTGTAGACAAACTACCTTCATCAAAGATACTGAAGGTTTTAGTAATTAAACATTTTCTGCTAAAAGATTTCTGAAATATTACTTGTTTAAATGAGAGAATTAAGGGGAGCATGTCCCTGAAAAATTTTTAAAAAAATTAAGATATGCAAGATTAATATCTTCTCATGGTACAGAATAAAACACTGTTAGTTGTATGTGACTAGATCTCCCAGAAGGCTACGTTTCCAAGTCCAAAGGAAATACTTATTTAAAAATACAGCTAGATCTGTATCAGTGAGAAAGAATTCCAGCATCCTGTCTTGGAGTAGGTGATAGGGATTTTAAAAGATGGCATCTGCTCAAGACCCATCCTGACATGTTCTTACAAGAATTTTTTTCATCTTTTACACAAGTTAGTAATTTTCTTAGGAAACTTTAAAAACTTCAGGTTTTTTAAAGAAAACAATATCTTTTTAATTGTACTGTTTTACTTCAAGGATTTGGTTGTGTTCTTAACTTTTTCTTGTCAAGCTCTATTATAGATATAGAAAACAGACAAACTAAAACAAATACTGGCAGATCCTACAAGATATGCAATCATGTTTAAGACTCCCAACAGCACAGCTCAGTTTGAGAGGCACAGTATTTAAATGAGGGCGCTGAGCAGGATATTTCCCACTTAGAAGATAGTGTACATAAGGCATGGCAAATAAGGCAGGAAATGATGCAAGCACAGACATCTGTATGAAAAACTGTCAGATCCAGAAAAGGGAAGGGGGTAAAAAAAAACAGGTGAAAAAATAAAGTGGGGGGAGGTAGGAAGGGGGAACCAAGAACCAAGAAGAAAAAATATCCAAACTATTATCTTTATGCCAAGAATGGATGCAAAACCAACTCCTTTCGGCTATAAAACAGAAGAATTAGGATACATATTCCAGAAGGATATAGTAACATTTTCAAATAACTTAAAAGATCAGATTTGTTAGATTCTTAAAAACTTGAGTAAGTATATCTTTAAAAAGTCTGCTGGCTTGATTTCAAATAAAAAAACATAATCTAAAGGTTATTGCTTTTCATGTCTATTAAGGCATGAAAAGCAATACCTGGAAGGCTGTTGTCTGTCAAAAGCAGGTTACTGTTAATTTATCACACTACAGCCTAGGGCATTAAAGTGTACTAAAATGATCCATTGAAAAGAAGATAATTTGAAAACTGTGGAAACTTACCTAGATTACTGAAACATTAAGCTAACAATGAATGGTATTGCTAGCTGGAATTTGGAAACCATTTTACATAAGAAAATTTTCCTTATTTAAGTTGACTGAAGAGGTACTCCCTACAATATCAGCTCTTCTAATTATTCCATGACTAAAAGAAAACCACCACTATCATTTCCAAAAAAAGAAGATAGAAATTTAAGAAGTAAATATTGTGGCAGAAGTTATATCAAATCATGTTTATTACTTTTAATGACTGCTGCAGCAATTCAGAACTGGCAACAGAATCTGGAGGGATTAAATCCTCCTGATCAGCATAGTCCATGTATGCTGAAGTAGATGACCTCTTCTTTCATTTCATTTTACACTGCATTCATGTTATGACCTAGGTCAATTTTTAATTTTCAGACCGCTTAAAAATGCACCAAGTAATGGTGATCTGACTGGTGACCTTGATTATAACTGCAGTGTTGTAGGTTTTCTGTCATTTTGTCTTGTGCTCGATAGGAAGGAGCAAGAGCCAAACACACGCTCCCTTGTCAAACCAAACCTCAGGCAGGCAAGAGATAAAAGCACAAGTATCAGGTTTCTGGGATCAAATCACCCTTTGATCCTAAATACTTTCAGCCTGGTGATCCTTAGTGTTACAGGATACTTTGTTACCACAGTTATCATCAGTAAACCAAGTAAATTGTTGTTGTTGTTATTATTAATGCCACTCAAAATGCTTATGTGTTAAGTGGGGACTGAAGTAGAGCAGTGTCTTCAATGCACTGAGCTCTTTTAGAAAGCTTTGCTATGGAAAATTAAATTATATTAGGGGACTTTGAGTAGCATACGTGATACTTCAGCAACAATTTCAGAGGATACTCATTGCTTCCCAGCAACGGTGGTCAGCTGAACTGAGAAACTGAACCAGCTTTAAACCACAGAAAAAAATTAAAAAGAAAGAAAGAAAATATAAAAAAAAAAGGGTTATTCAGTAGGCAGAATGCAAACCAGTTTCCCTCCTAGATGCCCACAGGATCATAGGATCATGGTGTGAAGGCTGGTGAGAGCTGGGATGGGACTTGGGCATTTAAATTCTACCAGAGCAGGATGACTGTTCTCTAGTCAGTTTTAGAGGGTTTTTTTTGGTAGCTCACTTTTCCCAGAAGAAATTCTTCCTTATCTTATGGCAAACATATCCTAAATGGCTATGATCTCTTACTTTTCCTTCTGTACAGAAGATTATCTCTTGACTCCATCTAAACAGTGATATTTGAAGCATCTAATCAAGCAGCATCTTTGCCACCTATAGTAGTTGTACTATTAACAACAGAAATACAGACAAGGTGTTACACAAATGACTAAGTACAAAGCAGGCTGAAAGAGGTAAGTTAAAGATGCTCTGACAAGTAGATTTCAAGCAACTGAGTCAGCAGTTCCGGTATCACAGAGGATATTCATGTACATTGTTTTTAGGTGCAAATTCTTAAAAACTGCTTTCTGCTAAAAATGTCTTCCAGGAAATTCCCAGTACTATATGCAGTGAAGTTTGTTGTAGCTTATGCAAAGGTGGTAAAGCACAACTGTCTGCAAGAGCATTCTTGTAGAAAAGTCAGAGGGTGGGGAAGATGGCGCATTTCCCTCAACTGCCTTGCTCACAGGCTTTAACACCTGTTAATATGAAAGTCTCTGAAGACTCCCAGAACAGCTTTCAGGTGGTTCTGAAGGCAGAGGTTGGCAAAAACAGGCTCCATTTCAGATAAAACTGCTTGCCTCCCTATCTGTTTGCATGATCAACAGCAAGCAGTCCCTTATGTTAATGTGTAAGTAAAAGAAACTTCAGAACAAACTGCCTTTGTAAGAAACACATGCTGCAATTACAGCAACAGTTCACAAATAAAAAAATTTAGTCTGTTTTGCCATTTGCTAATACTTGTAATGAATTCCACTGCCATCTCAGAAATGAGAGAGCTGGCAGTAACTATGCATGGCAAACCTGAATTGACACAGAAGGAAAAAATATTATCCCTCACAGTGTCCTCTTCTTTTATCCCCAAGCTTCTGTGCCACACTGCAGCAGCTAAACTAAGCAATGGCCTAATTGGAATTAAAATTCAGATGAACAAGCTAAACCTAAAGAAGCACAGACACATGAACAAATGACCATATGGAAGTAAGGTAGGGCTTATCTTTGGTCATGTATGGAAAACTATAGCAAAAATATCTTTGGCCTTCATCATTAGGAATTATTTGTGGTATTTTCAGAGGGGACTTCAATTGTAGGAGGAGACAATGTCATTTAAAAAAATAATTTTATTTTTTCCGTACTTAGTATTAAAATAATCTGGAATGCAAGTTGAGCTTGACAGAAAGCAGAAACCAGCAGTTCCATCAGTAATATTTAGACACTACTGCAGTTCTTTAAGTTTTGAGAAATTTCATCAATTTTGGATACAAAAGCAAAACTCCCCATACAGTAAGAAATGTAAAATTACAAGTCTAATCTCATCAGGCACAAAACTGAAGTTTCCCTGAGAAGATGTAATTACGTACTAGTGTATAAACTTCATATCACAATATCAGGGTGCTTTAAGAATACAAAAGATTTGAATTCTTTGATACTCCATGCTGAAGACAAAATTTTCAGGAGGATTAAGAATTACATGTAACAGAACTGCAGCAAACAGATCTAAGTAAAATGATAACAGCTGGCTTTGCATATCCCCTTTTGCATAGCTTTTAGATAACTTCTAATGTTATATTCCTGAGATCTTTTAATATTCAGTATGAAGTGCAGTCCAGCTGCTTTGTACCCCCCCCTTCATCTTTCTCTTCCAGTTAGCATTCATTACATTCATGGAAAAAAAAATTTGAGAATAACCATGAACAACATGCATTTTCTATGCCTTAAAACAGTTTTGAGGCATAGAAGCCAAAGAAAGACCATTAATTATACCTTCTAGATAATAAATATTCCAAATAGTTGGCTTTCTTGCTGATTTTGTACCTAAAGCTCCAAACTTCAGTGTGCCACAAGGCATACTCAAGACATGTTTTCTCCCTCTCATCCATGGACAAGGCAGGACATGAGCAGCACTAGACCAACATGGTGAGAGTCCTTATACCCATTATCAGCATCACCACGACTGCTGTAAAACGTTAAAGTATGTAGCAGTAGAGTATCTGTACTTATGTTTCCCAACAGAAGCACACATCTCAGTTCTTTTGCAGATACAGGGCTTTGTGTCGCAAATACTCTTCCAAGCATTTCACTGCAAAAGGGTCGACATCAGTGTCAAACTTATTAGCAAATAAGTGGTGGTTCCGTAGCATCCAGTTCAAGTCTCCTACTCCAAAAACACACACAGAGCGAATGTGAACTCCACTGCATGGTGGGTAGGGTGCACCTTTGGACACATCACCTTCAAAGTACTGCCACTTGACAAACCTGGCCAGGGCATTCATGTCAGAAACGTCATACTTGTCACTGGAAGAGAACGCGCCTGGGACTTCAGGGATTCTCTGAATTGTTGCCCACAGGTACTCATCTGGGCTGTAAGTATCTTTCGCCCACTCAATGAACTTAAGTATTTTGCTGTTTTCTAGTACATATTCTACAAAGCTCCTGCTAACTACAAAATAGGCACTGCCAGAAAAAACTGGAGTACTGAGAGGTGGTAGTTGTTTGTCTATGCCTGTGTTCTTTATTTTACCATCAATAATCTCATGGTGTTTCTTCCACCTTACTTCTTTATAAACAGGCATTTTTTCTGTTTCCAAGCTGTTTTCACCCTTAAGGGCTTTTAATTTCTCTACTATTTCCTTGTTGGTCTTTATAGGAAAGTCCATACCACATAGGTTTATTAGGTATTTCCAGTTTGAACTTCTTCTATGGAGATCTTTCATGCAGTTAATGTCTGCCTGCACTCTGCTCCACGAAGCATATACCACACTCTCTAACTGGCTGGAAATAAAGACATTATCAAAACATGACACTATTCCCTTCACAGCAGCAAAAAAGGATTCTGGAGACTTTTTGTCTACATGAATGCAGTAAAAATTCTGTGGAGCATAGATTGATCTTAGAAGTCTATCAAGCATCTCAATTTTGTGATAAACTACTATTGAGTAAGCAATTGGAAATTCTGCTTCTTCGTTACTGAGAGGTTCCATAATGTATTTCCTAGTCTTGGTGAAGGAGGCACAGTCTGCAGTCATGTTAATATAATCATCTGTTGTTAGTCTGGGGCGCTTCTTAAATGACACTGATAATGCCTCAAGCTGTACCTTTTGTATTTCTTCTATATCCCCCTCAATAATCTTGGTGCAGTTAACATCGCTAATAGGATCTTCTTTTGTTAGCTCCAGATGTCTCCGGTTTCGGAAGTCTTCTTTCTGGTTAACTTTCAAAACTGAAATTATTACTAAGATGAGAGTTAGACCCAAGAAAAGCCTGAAGCGTGAGTTGTAGCAAAACCGTAATTTCCTCTTCAGCATTTCAAATACCAGGTAGCTTTGCAGGGCTAAAAAAAATGTCCTCTTCTCTCTTCATATGAGCTTCAACAGCTTCAGAAAAAAAATTTTGTTTCTCAGGAATTTGGCAAGTTTTTCAGGGAAATGGAAGGAAAAATCCTAAAACAAAATGGAATATGATAGTCATTGTTAGACTAAAAGGTTTCTTAAAAAAATTAGTGATTAATAATTACACTTTTATTTAGTGACAGTAGAAAGCTGAATAGTTCAGCCAAAAATATTCTGTTAAAAATTAAAAATTAATGAATAGATTTTTTATAGAAAAACACTGGGAGAAGCATACAGTTTTCATGAAGCTTCCACAGTACTAAAAACTGAAGTTCAGTAAGAAAACAGAGCTGATTCATCTGCATTTAAAACAAAACTGAAGTCAGATACACTACTGAGAAGCAAGTATTTCTTCTTAATTCGTGCTTTAGAGCTTGACAAGAATGTTTAATGCCCACTTCAGGGTTGACATAGATTTCTTATCATTAAGACTTACCACTCACTTCCTGGATGGCAGTCATGCTTTAGTTCTCACTGGCAAAGAAGTCCCTGCAGCCTTTCAAGATCTTTATGTGAGACAGTCTCTTCAACATCCTTCATATGAGCTTAGAAATACGACCAGGGAAGAGCTGATGAGAAGGGTGAGGGAAAAAAAGTTACTACAGCAGGGCACCTGAGTTTTCAGAGTTGTGAGAAAAACTGTTACTGAATTGCTGAAATAGGTTTATAAGGTAAAAGGCAATACTTACGACCTGTATCTCAAGCTGATTTGTATCAAGTCACTGCAAGTGCACTAATCTAAGTGCACAGCAGTATTGCATTACCATCATTTAAACACAATTGTTTATAATATTCAGCAATTACTTTTATGTGGAGGCATGCTGCAATGCTGGATTGCAACAAGATTTCTAGCCAATTTTATTTTCTACTTTACTGCACAAGCACTAGATAATTTTTGTTTGTTAGTTCTGTTACTCTTGAAGTACCTTTTTTTCTGTTTCAGTACCCTGTGAACAGAATCACTGCAGTTGTGCAGCAGCTACAGCTGTAGCTGTTGAGAAAGCTGCACTCTAGAACTGTATCACAGAACTCTGTGTCTTTTTTTCCTTTTTTTTTTAAGTACTATCTCATGCAGGTAAAATGATCAAGAACAGGATATCCTTAAATAACTTACACTGCTACTCAGATGCCACTTCTAATCACAAATTCACTGCCTAATAATTTAGTGCAGGTTTAAATTTCAAACCAGCTTCTAATTGCAAAAGCCCACACAGTTTACAGAAAATGTCTTCCAAAACGTAAATCTGTAAGTTTATAAAATATAAAGTACTTGAGAGATACATGGCTTCTTACACTTTTACTACTTTCAAAAAAAAAAGACAGTGCCTCAGAATAACTTTTTTAATAGCTCGAAGAATAACAGCTACTCATAAAAACTGGGAAGAAACTCTGTTTAAGAAAAATAAGTGTATATTGTGTCCACTGCTCTGTTTTGCCATAGGTTGTTCAGTGTTAAGAATTTCCTTTTCCGCCCTATTTTCTTTAAGCTACCCCAGTATCATTTTAATTGCTAAACTGTGGGCTCTTAAGCTGCTACTTGCAGATCTCAGGTGCATTTAAGAAACTGAGGCATGGCATAACAGAGTTTTTAATCAGTAATGCTGCCCAGGATGCACTACACATTGGTCCACCACTTTGCCCATGACACTGCAAATTGACTGGGGGAAGCAGCAGGTGGGAGGAAGGTGTGGAACACTGCACAAGTGTGTAGCACAGCCATGAGAATCAGGAAGTACTATAGTCAAATATTTTGTATTTCAAGCCAACAGCAGGCAGAGACCACAAACTAGACACAAATTTGTCACTAACAACATCATATCACATAGTTTTATTTACTCTGAAGTGTACTTAATTTTCAGAATTACAACTGTAAGTATTTCATCCTGCATTTCTAATTTATTTTAAGGAAGGTAGACATTTGTTCAAAGAGTATTTTTCATGTACAGTGAAATAAAATTGGAAGAAAATTTAAAACTTAAGGAAAGTAGCCCAGTAAGCTAGCATGCAATTACAGCAGAAAACACAGAGAGGGAAATTTTAACAATGAGGTCTTACACTTTTAATTAAAAAAAAAAATTAAAGGAAAATTCCAGAATTCTCTTTCAATTTGCACTGTGGCATTGAACCCAACAACATAATTTAGAAAATGTTTTAATACGCTTTGTAACTTATCACACACTTTTGTACTTGATGTCCTGCTTGTTTTCACTAGTAAATTTAATCCTCCAAAAATAATATTCATTGCATATTAAATTAACGGAGGAATGAGACTAAATATGTGATAGTGTCCTTTGGTTATATAGATTCATAGGATGAAGCATGTGATACTGCTTAACCTTCAATTACTGTATTCTCCCTACAAACTTAAAAATTAAGACTTTTCTAGAACTTAAAGTGTTCTTCAAATAGTTATATTTGTGATACTTTAGCTGATGGACATTGGAATCCTTTCTTTAGGCTGTTGGCACTATTATTTTATCCTATTCTTAGTTTTTATAGGAGCACTAGCATTGAGAAATAACACATACTCAAGAAGATTACCAACCCATCACTGTTCCAGTGGAGGGAGATGATCTTGATTGAAACTGACCATGGCAGTCTTCACCTTCTAAAATTTTCAAAGAATAAAGCTTGCTAAGAAGTTTTTCCTGCTCCCATTTTAGAATACAACTTAGTTGAGTGTAGGATAAAGAATCCCATTCAGAAAGACCTTGTATACCCAGCTGGGTGCAATTCCTCTATTGTTCGGAGCTCAGAATAATCAGAGCCGGCATTTTCATTATACCAAAATGAGAGATCTGCAAACATTTACACATTAACATGGCTCTTATCTTTATGTGGAATTTTTTTCCCTGTAAATTTCTCTCACTGGCATGTTTCTTCCTCAGGCCAATTTTAACAGTAAGTTACTATTTGTTTATGTTCACAATTTCAAAGTCCTAAAATATGATCATATCCCATTCACAAAAGCTGATCTTTACAGGGTAAGATCTGTTGCCTTTCATCTATAATACACCTAACACATTTACTGAGCCTAGAACACTCAATAGTTTAAGACTGCATTCAGTTGAGCTTTTAACATGACTAAAGCTTTAGCTCTGCACAGCCTTAGTGCACACACTAGAGAATTACCTTGTCAGAGGCAGCACTTTCCACTGTGGGAGAGGTGGAGGAAGGTTTGCAAGGCTATGGAGGAAATGCTTTATTTGGCAGCCTTCATTTTGCTCCGCTGGTAGTTGAGGACGTTGGTACAAAGGATGAGTTAGCTGCCCACTTCCCTCTTTCCTGCCAAAATTATTCTTTATTGCTGTCTACAAACCGTATGGTATGACTAAACAAAACCAAGGTAATTTCAGCTTGATTTCTAGCAAACACAAAATTCCATAAGGAACCTAGGACTTCAAAACAAAAACTGCCCAAAATCTCCAAAACAAAGGAAAAACCCCCACCAAACAAAACAATTGTGTACCACAGCTTGGAGGGAGACCAGAGCTGGTGTGGAGGTTTTGTGCAGACAGGCTGGACTGGAGCTGCTGGTCCTACAAATGAGGATGCTTGTGAGGGTGCACAGCCAGCACAGGTCATGGCTACTCCAGCAGCCAGGACACCAGCCTCCGGCTCCTGGCACAGCACCACCTCTGCGGCTGCACCGCGCCTCTGCGCTGGCACCGTGATGTGCTGCGGGTGGAAGGAGCAGCCCCACTGCCATCTCTGGCACCCACGCATTCAGCCAGGAGGGGTGCAACAACAGATCCAACCAGATGGCTCTGGGGAGCTCTCCAGCCAGTGGGGCCATGAAGATGGATTTGCTGGGAAGTCCTAACACTTTACAAAGGCATATCCAGAATGCTTCAAAGCACTCACATCAATTGTAGTTACTACAATTACCATGTTTCCATTCAGATGCAGTTATGCAGAACATTCATTCTGATGAGGAAGTGATTTTCAAAGCAGTAAGCAGCTTGTATAAACACAAACATGCATAAACACAAAGAGAGACTTCGTGGACTGCAGTGTCATCTGCAAAGATCTGCCAGACACAGGAGTCATTTACTCAGCTTTCCATAACACCAAGCAGCACAATCTTGAAAGTAGACATGTCTATAAATGAATCAAAGAACTCATACTTGTTCTGTTAGGTAGTGTTGAGTCTTGGGTCTTACTGAAAATGAGAACTGATCATAAGCCACGTAGTTGGGCTACCATAAGCCTTTATGGGACTCTTAATTCTGTAATCATATGCAGCAGGGTTTCACGTGGGCACAGTTGTCTGCAACACTCCGTAGGAGTAGATGCTTTTCCCTCAGAGTTGCTCAGGAAAACAATAAAAAAGGGAAAATACACTCCCTTTTTAGAGAAAAAACCCTAACACATTTAAAGTTCTTTGTCAACTTGGAAGACAGCTTTAAACAAAACTCCACACATGACTAGTACTGCTACATCCACCACTACATGGAAATTAAATACTGAGAGTAGCTAAAAGTAGACAACTGTTTTTTTCAGAGCTAAAAAAAAGATGAAAATAAATTCAAACCTCCAGGTTATCTGAAGATACTAAATTCAATTGTTAGGAATCTTACGCTCTAAAATAGTTCTGCTTCAAAAAATGAGTAACACTCACATGAACATACACTCTGTGTAGATTGTAAATTGAAAAAGCAGTCAGTTTTACTAGCCTTTCTAGTACTCTTTATACTACTGTATCACGGAAACCTTCTGCAGAACAGTTCAAAGCCTTATGACTATTTCCAATGTTGTCCATCCTCAGAGGCCCCACAGACAGAGCTAACAGCAAGGAATTTCAGCTAAGGAGAGTAAAGATGTTATGGCAAAGTCATTCAGTGACTTGTTCCTACCTCAAGAAGCCTGTGACTCTTAGTATGGACAGAAAGATAGGTTTTACCTTAAGGTTACTAACACTGAAAGTATGAATCACAAAACAAAAAATAATGAAATCTTTAAACTAATGTTGGCCAATTTAACATGCCAGAAGAACTGCCCGGTGTTCCTCAAGGTAATTTGTACACTTTGGCTACTTCAAGGTAAAACAGGCACCTAGTTTTTTCACAGTATTCTAAACTAGGACCTATAATCACCAGGAAGAGAGCAGCTGCTACTCTCCTCATGCCCACGTAAAAAATTTTGCTCATTGCTGCCTTGTGACAATGCTGTATTTCATAACGGTACACACTGACAGTAAAGGTTATCTATAAAACCTGAAGGGAGGCAGAAGTAAAAAGCTGTCAATTTTGAGTACTTGGATCCCTCTTCAAGCACTACATAGAAAATATTCTGAGATTTTTCTTTAGCCCTATGGAGAAGCCAGCATTTTAAAGCCATGCCTACAGTTATAGTTCATCAGTGAGCTAAAGAATCATCAGTGAACTTCCTGAGATACTCTATCACAGTTTTCCAAGATGAGGTTTCTGTTTGTTTTATTCAGTTCCTCTAACAGCACCACAATTATCCTATGTATAATAATGCTGTATATTACAAAAAGTGGTGTCTCTGGAGCTAAGAAGTAAACCTAACACTGAAAGTTACTTCACTTGTACTACTGGGTAGGATACATTTCTGTAGCACTACATTTTTTCACCTTTTCTAAGACAGAATTCTAGGTTGATAGGTGTTTTCCACTTTCAGGAGTTTATGAACCAGTGTAAAGGGAGAACTTAATTATGTTGAAATCCAAAGCAAAACTGAGAGGGATTATTAAAAAAACAAAATTAACTCCTTTAATAAGGCTACCAGTGGGTTTTCTAATATGGAAACAAAATTGGAGAGCAGGATTTTGCTCAGTAAACATAATATTTTCAGCAAATAAGACTGTAAATCTTTAGCTCGTATGTTTGCCTTGCATTTGGTTTATGTTAGAAAAGAAGGTAGACTTGGCAAAAGTATGAATCAGGTTTTTTAGCAATTTTTGGCTCTTCTGGCCTCAGGAAGTGAGTATTACTCCACATAACTCAAATTCTGTACGAAAGGCATTATGCTGGTAATTGGTATACACTATAGGAAGAATAGCTAATCATTGAGGACAGAAAATATTTTCTTTTGTATACACCTACTTTCAAAAGCAATCTAAGTGATCTCCAACTTGAGCTACAAATACTGCACTATTTTTCACAAAGATTTTTAAGTTGAAAGACAGAAAAGCTAGATTTGTCCCCTCTTCTCTTACTACCATTTCTGACTCTCATTCTGTGGTCAAATACCTCATATTCCATTAAAAATTACATTTAAAATAGCAGACTCCAAAATGGCAATTCCCTCCTGCTGCCACTCCTCCTTTTTCCCACAAAGAAGTCCACTTTTCTCAGCAACGCTGAAAGAAGGCAAAGTGCCAGAGCACAACTGAGTCTCCTGTCAGCCTTCTTTCTCAGTCCTCTCACCCAACCTGGGCCACAAAAAACTATTTACAACCTTCTAAACAGCTTTTTTTTTTTTTTTTTTTTAAATTCTGACCGAAAAGAACTTTTTTCAGTTACACTGAGTTAGAGAGAGAGAGAGAAAGCACCACAACCTACGACTGCAACACCTCAGGAGCATCATGAACCCTAAACCCTGTTATGGCTCGCAGATTTCCCACCAAGCCGACAGCCTGCCCGGGGTTTCCTGCATGCACTGCCGCGGGAAAAGGCGAGCGGAGGAGGGTCCGAAGGCAGACTGGCAGAAAGCGGGGAAACAAAACGAACAAAGAAAAAAGAATGTGACAGGGAAAAAGCAAGGGAAGGGGGAAAGCGAAATAAGAAGAACGGGGGAAAGAAAGAAGAAGAAGAACATAAGAGGAACCAAAATGAGAGGGGAGAGGGGAGAGGGAAGTTGGGGTGGGTGGAGGGGGGAGTGGGGAGAGAGAGGAGGGGATGGAGGGAGAGAGAGGGAAAGGGGTAAGGAAAGAAAAAAGAGGTGGGGGAAAAAAGAAGGAAAGAAGGGGGGGGAAAAGGACAGAGACACAACAGATGCGTCTCCCTGCCCTCCAGTGCAGCACCTGCCCGACGATACGGCGGCTCCTGGAGTAATACTGCGAGTCTCCGCAGGGTACGGCGCCCGGGAAGAGCGATGCTCCAGACCAGCCCGCACTGCCGCCTGCTCCGGGACCGCTCCCGGTACGCCCACAGCACCAGGTGCGGAGCAGCCCAGGGGCAGGCACGGAGCCCGGCCACCTCCCCGGCGGGCGCGGCCCCGGCCGGACTCCGGCTGCTGCCCTGGGCTGCGGTCCCCGCCCGGCCCCGCGCCCCTCCCGGCACCCCCGCGCGGGTCCTGCCGGCCCGGCCCTCCGCGGCGCCGCGGCCGCGCCCAGCCTCCCGCCCCTGCCTCCCCGCCTGGCCCCGGGCTCACCCGCAGGGAGCCCTCGGCGGCGCTTGTTTGTCCTTTTGGTTGCTTTCTTCAACGCCGCGGTACCGGTAACGTTGGAACAACTCCTCTGCGGCTCATGGGATGGAAGGGCTGTCTCGTGTTCCCAGCCCCAAACGACTGCGCACCCAGCGGCGCTGGGGGCCGGGTGCCCGGGGGCGCTGGGCGGGCTCGGGGTGGTTGTAGCAGCCTGGCTGAGCGAGGAGCCGGCGGGACCGGGGCTCCTGCGGCCGCACTGCGCAGCCCGAGAGTCGCCTGGTGCTGCATGTGGGCTTACAAGAGCTCTGCGAGGGAACATGGAGCGACGGAAGAGAGGGTGGGGGGAAAGGGGAGCAGATATGACTGGGAAGTGGTGCACGAAACTTGCAGCGGTGAAGAGTAAGACGTGTCTAGGCAGAGTGTGAAGACTCAGATTTCTTGTTCGCTTTGTCACTTCAAATATCTGTCGGACGATAAACATAGTCCACGGGGTTTGGAGAGCTGTGAAAGATGAAGGTGGAGCTTAGGGGAAAGCCCCTTATTATTTTAACGAAGTACTTTGAAAGAAAACAGAAAATTAAATTTCAAGGAAATAGAAAGTTCAAAGAGAGCGTGTGCCTCATTGAAAAACCCCAAGTAGTGCAGCCTGCAGCAGCTTGAACAGTCTTACAGAACTCCTCCCCAAAAATCCTTACGCATCAGCATTATTTGACGTGTAGCTTTATTTGGCAGCTAGGGACACACTTAATGGAATTGTCTCCTGGCCATTTCTCATTGCAGTCGTGAGATTGTACTGAGGGGTCTCGCATCTGCACTGCTCAAGAGACTGGAAGCTAACAAGAAAATGAGATAGCTTTCTAGGCTCTTACTAGTACACACTCCCAGCAGAAGAGGGAATTGTGTCCACCCATCAGATCCATCCACATGGGTCAGACAGCTTATTTTAGGAATGGACTGCCAAGATCTCAAATTTTCATCATCATGTTCTCAAG